TATAGTAATGTATTAGTTCCAAATGTTTACTGGGAAGTAAGCACTTTTATTTCAAAGAGGTAAGAAGAATTAAGAAATAACTCTGCACTGGATGGATATAACAATACAGAACCTCCAATTTTTGTTCATTTTGCTTTTCTCTTTCCCAATTTTTATATTCAGTATTAAAAAAGATAAAGCATTTTGCCAATTTGGGGATATTTTCTTTAGTTCTTCAAATATATTTTTGGCAAACCATTTACCTGTTCCTTAATGCCTTGGCTCCCTGGCAAGGTAGTATATCTTTTTTATTCTAATTGAAATTTCTTGCGTCTGCAGAGAGAAAGGCAAGAGGGGGTGTTTTAGCAGTCAAACTGCCAGCTTGAATCCAGAGATAATAAACTTGTGGTCTGGAATTCAAATGAGTACCGTGCAACTGTCTTTAACATTACCCAGGTTCAGAGAACTCTGGACAAAAACTTTAGATAAAGGAATCAGAAAGCTTGCTCAGAAAAGGTGCTTCCATTTGAAGTAGAATAGAAAATTAAGGTAGAAAAATTGTATCTAAAAGAAGCGGACTTAAAGAATGAGCTCAGGAAAAGTACACTGGTATACTTTGGAAATCAAGAAAATGGCATGCCCTGGTTGGGGTTTGGGGTGGGTGGAGGGAGGGCGTGACTGAATAATCCTTAGAAAAAACTTCTGAGAAAGTTTCATAGAACGGCTTTACTGCAAATTAGTATTGAAAGGAACAAAATCTGAGTGAAAGGTGGATAAGTCTTATCTGCCCTTTGATCTATGTAGAGAAAATAATGGACCTGGCGCATTGACTGCTCTCTAACTTGCAAGTCATTATGGGTCTAAGAGGTTTTTGCAATTCTACATGCCATGTTATATCAACATATATGCTATGAAATATGTTTTAATCATAAAACAATAGTGAAAATTGAGTGTATAATAGCGTATATATAATTAAGAAATTCCTTACACAATAAAAATAAGTATTTCAGAAATGTGCCTTTGGATATTAAAGTAATTAGCAAACTAAATGAATGAAAAGGCAAATATGTATTGTTTTATTTTGCCAGCACTCTAACTTAGTAATCAGGAGAGTATCCTGTGATATCATCTGGATCATATCAATCGCAAAAAAAAAACCCCACAATGTTTCTCAAAATGCAAAGATAGTTTTAATGTAGGGAAGTAATTAAAACTTCAGTCATCAATGACAATTTCATAAGGTTTCCTGATTTTTTGAGGCATTTTACTATTTTTCCTTAGAGTTCAGATTAGCAAGTTCTGTGAAGAGAGAGGAATAATGGTGATTATGGTGATACAGTAGTATCATTTTTCAGACTGAGAGCAATTTGCTATAAATTATTTGGAGTAATTCTAAGTTAAAGTCAAGATAACCTGATTTTTTTTGTCTCTGCAGAATCTTGGAAGTAGTCACGATATCAATTAGCATATACTAAACTTATATAAATTATTTGGAGTAATTCTAAGTTAAAGTCAAGATAACCTGATTTTTTTTTGTCTCTGCAGAATCTTGGAAGTAGTCACGATATCAATTAGCATATACTAAACTTTGATGATACTTCTAGTAAATGTTGGAATCATTTCAATATACTAAAATATTGGTATAATTGTCCTTATAAATAACCTCCCTCTGCCCCCAGCCCTGTGTCTGATTATCATCGTTTAGTGAAGTTAGTTCATCGCCTCATCTCTCTTTGTTGCTAGGAAGCCCTACTCCTAAAATGATAATAATTTCATTTAAAGATTAATGAAACAATCCCACTCAAAATTCACAAAACACATGTAGTCCATTGCTTAATAGGGATTTCTACTATTTAGTGTATTTTTAAAATTTGGCCATGACTTAAAACATTAAGTTATAATTTTAATTATAGGTAAAATGAACTAAAAACTTAAGCCCAAATGGAAACAGAGACAGCATTTCTTCTAACTAATTTCATTGGAAATTATTTACCCATATTTAAGTACAATTTAATTTATGCAAAAAGTTTTCCACTCTAAGTGTCTTTATGTAATTTCCCGTTTTACTCTTAGGTCCCCATGCAGGGTCACTATCACATATGGCACTAGCTATCGAAGACCTATAGTCTATCTGCATAATCACCACTTGAGATAAAGCAATACAGGATGTAAACCCTTATCGCAATCTACATTTTTGGTATTAGAGATTATTTAATTTCTTTCACACTTACATATTAGGGATATAAATTTTATGTATTGATTTTTGTACAATTTAATTTCAGTTCCAAACATTTTTCTAAAG